GTTATTGCCTCTAGTATCTGCTTTGGAACCCTGTGGATTATCATCCTGATAACATGACCAAACCACCTCATCTTATGCTTGTCAATGCCATTTCAATCAGTGGTTCGACATGGTTTGTCCTGATGGTCTGGTTTTTTTACCCGGTCTCTATGAGCTTTGACAGAGACTCGTTTAAGGGTGTACTCACACTATGTACAGTTGTCTTAAACTGGGCCAAAGCACACTTGTCCCCCCTCCCGTCTCCCCCGACGGCCTCACATTATATTCGGGCCGGGGCATGCTTACATCATCGATGATGCGCAGCACAGTGGAGATTTCTTTAGTTATGTTGTTTGACATGCGGTGACACACAGTCAAATATTTCATCGAACAGATCAATCGCTTTTGATGCTCATAAACAATCATAATGTCTAGGAATTAGGAGGTTTGCTGAAGGTGTGCAGCTTTCGTGCCTAGTGAGGGGTTTGCGTCTTTAATAATCTACGACAGTTGGCGTTCACTGAACAGTAAGAATGATTCATTAATCCAAATGAAACAGTCCCTTAAAAGTCACGTCTCGCTTTCAGTTTCGAGGCTCTGCTGCGTTTTGCACTCACACACAAGTGTACCGCGCCAAAGCCCAAGTGAACTGCACTGAGGCACACCTCTTCCAACCGGGCCAAGGCCGGCCAAGTGAACCGTGTCTGAGCCTGATTCAGCACACTTCACAAAAGATCCGGGAAACGGGCCTGTGCACGGTTCAGATAGCACTGTGTGAGTACGCCCTAAGGTACCGCATCTCCATAACCAGCAATCTGTCGTTCCTGCTGCTGCAAGTAAGTGCCCAAGACTCACACCCATAGGTAAGAGTAGGCACATAGGTGGAGTTATAAACAGCTAGCTTTGTTCAGATGTAGATTTCGCTCTTTCCCAGAAAGGCTCTGTTTAAAGCGTGATTATCAGCACATTATCAGCATGTGCTAGAATCGTCATCTGTATTGAGTTCATGCGCACACCTTACTATTAATAAACAGCTAATTGGTAGCTTATTAACATAGTAGTGTTAGTTAATGGTGTGCTAATACTTTTTAATTGTAACCTAAAGTAAAGTATTAACAAAATTTTATGTGTGAATGTGCTTTATTTATCAATAATTATTTAAAAGGACTCATTTTAATGGCAATAATTTTGTGAAAATGTGTGATAACACCAAAGCAGTGTAAGGGTGCTTTCACGTATCTCTTTTGTCCAGTTAGCGCGGTTCGTTTGGCATATGTGAACAGGGCAATCGCGCTCTGTTCCGCGCCAAAGTAATCGCTCCGACATCGCTTGAATGAGGTGGTCTTGGCTCGATTGAAACGAACCCTGGAGTGGTTTGATTGCAGTGAGAAAGCGATCCGATCCGAGCGCGGTTATATCACAGTGTTTTATGGATATGTAATAGGCTTACGGCTATATGAACAGAGAATTATGAGTAGGGTGGGAAGTTTCGCGAGTCTCCGGATGCCCGCAAACGAGTGATGATCTCCCGGTAATCTCGCGTCTCCCTCCCGGTCCTCAAATAGGCATCGTCGCGCACCCTTCTCACCCCTCCCCACAGCGTCTCTCCTCAGACACGTCGTGCGCACCCTGTCAATCCCCACCAAACCACCACCTCTCCTGACAGCTTAGCGGGACGCTGCAAAATAAACCCTGACACTCTGACCAATGTGAGGAGAGTTTCCTCGCACGTGACTTGTTTTAGCTCTTTTGGTCCGATTAGAAACTTTGCAGTGTGAAAGCGAACCGCACCAAGAGCAAAGAGCAACAATGTAACAATTGTAATCTCTGTTTCGGAACAACTGAATCGATTCACAGGTGTGAAAGCACCCTAAGTGTGCTTTTGTTCGACAATCTTTCATGGGTGAAATCCAGCCATTGCTGGTTAGAAATTTATTTGAGTTGTGCAGGAATTTCTTTAACTAGCAATTCCTTAACCAGTTGGTCACAAAAAAATTGACCAACAGAAAATTGATTGGTTCTGTCGGAGCTGTACATTAAAATGCTGAAAGTAGACAATGCAGCGTTTTAAAGAAATTTTAATATTGTAACCAAACCTCAGGATTGCCACTTCCAAGAGAATTTTCCAGCCCAATGCATACTTTAGGATGCCTTCAGGGATCAGTGTCCACTAAGAAATTATTTAGTTTAAAGGAGGTAGCATATTCTTTGAGAAAGAGGGGTGAATTATTTTAAAAAAGGATTTGGAATCAATGTTTAATAATATAAAAACAGTACAACATGATTTGATTTAACTAAATATTTTCTTTTTCTCCATTGGTTTATACTGAATCCCCTGCCTCTTTATTTATTTATTCTTTTTCTCCATTGGTTTATACATGCGTGAATGTTTTATTTGAGTTTGTTTGTTTTTCAGTTCTGGTGTTGTTTTGTATTGTTAACTTTTGAAAGAGCCAAATAAAAGTTTGTGTCCGCAAGAAAGAAATATTTTGGCAGCCACGGCACATCATATATAATTTTATTTAATTATTTCTTTTGCCTGTAGATTAAATAAGGAAATGACATTAGATTCTGAATTTCACATCTGTTATTCCACATCTGTCGTCTATATGAAGAAGGTGTTTGACCTTCAGGTTTACTTTTCCTGTTCTACATTTAAAAGACAAATTGGGCTTTCAGGTTCTGCCGTCATCCTGACTGCAGCTCTCTGAACACCTGTTCAACTGCTCATTAACACAAATATCATAATCATAAATCAAAAACAGAGGAAATAAAAGTAATAGTTACACTTCACACAGTAAAATGCTCGATTTAGAGAAATCTTTCCATCCCCAAAGGCAGGAAAAAATACTAATAAATGGGTCAATTTATGCTCAGGGCGTCAATTAAATATTACTATATTTAATTATTACTAATATATTTAAATTCAACATTTTTTATTTATTTTTCTTAATTGTTTCTAGTATCATTTCAAAATCCCAATTCACCTACAAATCCCATTTTCAACCCATTTCCAATGCCAAAATGAACGCTGAGAGCACTGGTCACTGACTTTCTGGAAACCCAAATCTCCTGTAACCAGTGTAGGGTGTTGTAGAGTATCAGAAACAACAAATACTGTAAATAATCTGTGCTGTTCCTGACTGCCTAAAGACCGTGTTGTGATGCCCGATTCTCTGCCCGAGAGGAGCTGTTTAGACGTGTGGGCACAGCGTACATGGAAATGCATCCACTTAGAGTAAATAATTAATCAAGGCCTCTTACAGTAAAGCGGAGGCTGTAGATTGGAGTGGAGCGTCTACTGTACTGCATATAGTTAGAGCAGGAGGAATTGATCTGCACTGCAGCACCGTTGAGCAAGAGAGGATTTCCTAAAGCCATTTACAGCTACTTCAGTGCAGAAAATCACATTATAAATAGGGCTGTCAACTCAGAATGTGCATTCAGTACATTTTTAAATACAATGATGTGTATTTCAGTGTTGTCATAATTAATGAATTACATTAATATTCTGCAATTACCACTAGATACAGCGCTCAGCATAAATGAGTACGCCTCGCTTTGAAAATAAATAATTTTTATCTGTTTCTCAGTGAATATAGGTCACATATTTTGGTGCATTTGAACAAAACAGATTTATTAAATGGATATATTTATTAAAATAATACTTTAGCCACCGAATATCTTTAGAATTAGAAAGAAAATACATTTAAATTCGTAGGAAATATAAAAAAAAAATGACAAACTACAAAATTTCGACAAATTTTAGGACATTTTTTTTTGTTTCTCTTAAATTTTGCTCTTTTTAAAATTGTTTATTTTTTATTTTTCCCTAACATAAGAATTTGTGTGTACTAATTTTAGATGGTTTTCATAAATTATCTCCAGATTTGGCTTCAGTACTGACCCAGCCCAAACTTTTTTCGTATGAAGGGCCAAAAACCAATATCATTAGGAGCCGAGGGCCGTAAATAAATAAACCATTTTACATTAAAGTTGCCATGGGTAATTGCCTAATTTATTTTATGATATTTAAAAATAACTAGAAAACATTGTTCTATTGGAATTTCCATTTCAAAATGGCCGCCGCCTGACACTAGCGGCATCTAGTGGCTGTTTCCCAATTAGCAACAGAGTGTCGCCTCTTGGTGATTCTATGCTCTTCGGTGGAGTTCAATGCTGAATACACCAGTCAAGCAGAATCTCCTTTTGCCTTGATTCCCTCACCAAAGTCTCTGCATTATCCTCTCTACATCGGGTAACATTATGTACATTTTAAACTAAATTCCAGCATTAAAAATAAAACAAACAAATAAAAAGGTATATTAAATATGCACAAATATGATATTGTAAAGCTTCCTATAGAAAATATTAATTTAAATGTGAGATTTGTAAGGGGTGAACACTGTATATTAATATCAAGGATATGGCTCTCAAATCTAATTGATATATTTTTTTTAAATATAGTTTTTATTTTTAAGTAGTGTCATTTAGAAGGTACATGTATAAGAGACTTCTAAAAATACATTGTTGCTTGAAATTGTCTTTAAAACGGATTTCTCTTTGGGGGAACTGAATCATGATCATGAGTTTGGAAATGCAGGTCAAACAGTAAAAAATATTAATTTAATTTATTTAGGACCATTTTAAAACAGCTGTCAATCTAAAATCTCTCTAATTAAAATAATAATAATAAAACATTGAATGAAATCCTTTCACCTGGTAAGTAAGAGCTCAAGTGGATGATAATTATAGCCTATCTTAGTCACTGCATGGTTTTGATCTCAATGTCTGAAATAAGAGCCGAGTGAAAGGGCTCCTTGGCTATTTTAGGAAAACAATCCTTTTTTTTCCACATCACAGAATATGGAAGGCTATTCTAAGAAATGGAGTATATTTAGATGGTAAACGTTGCATATGAAAGCAGGTGATGCGGCAAACATGCTGTGGGCTCAGGATAAGAGCCCAATGAATATGCAGAGCTTGATTTGCTATGTTTTAGAGAACTGAAGTGATCTTACATGTGTGCAGAGAGAAGTGTTTACGGTCGGTGGCGGTGGAGGATCCACTTTCTCCTTCTCCCAGCAGGTACTGGATGGAGCGCAGCTGGAAACAGGGGTCCGACAGCAGCACAGACGCAGCCCTCGAGACACTGGAGGAGCAAACAGGGACACTGTTCAGCTGCTGGTTATCAGACGCAGCACATGCTGTCATGTTTATTTTTTATAGAGTCAAAAGGGTCATTTGGATATGTGGTGAACAGCTATGCCAATATATGAAAAATAAATAAAAGTCAAATTTCCATGTCAGCTTTTAGCATAAGCTTTAATCCAAAGTGACTCACACACTTTGTCAGTTAGGAGTTGTTCAAGTGAATTGCCTCAGCCGTGGTATTTAGGGTGAAAAAAAGAGTGCTGGATAGTCTAATGCCTACAAGTCCAACAACTGCCTGGACTTCAAGTGCAAGTGCAACCCTATAACCATAAATAAACCATTCAATCAATAAATCACCAATCAATCATTTAATCAAAGAAGTAATGAATAAATCAATTAATCAAATTAAATCAAATAAATCAACACATCAACCAAGAAAATCATCTCAATCAATCAATCAATCAATCAATAGATCAATCAATCAATCAATCAACCAATCAACCAATCAATCAACATACCTACTAACCAACCAATCAATTCAATCAACCAACCAGACAATCAATGAAACTACCAGCCAAACAATTAATGAACCAAGCAACCAATCAATTGATGAACCAACCATCCAAACAATTGATAAACCAATCAACCATCCAATCAAATTAATAAGCCAACCAACCAATTGATGAACCAACCAACCAACCAACCAACCAACCAACTAACCGTTGAATCAACCAACCAACCAACCAACCAACCAACCAAATCAATGAACCAACCAGCCAATTAATGAACCAACAAAACAACCAACTAATCAATCGATGAACCAGCCAACCAATCGATGAACTAACCAACCAATCAAATCGATACACCAACCAACCAATTAATCGATGAACCAACCAACCAATCAATGAATCAACCAACCATTCAACCAATCGAAGAACCAACCTACCAATCAATCAATGAACCAACCTACCAATCAATCAATGAACCAACCTACCAAACAATCGATGAACCACAAAAACAATCAACCAACCTACCTATCAATCGATGAAACAAGCAACCAACCAAATCAATGAACCAATCAACCAACCAATTGATGAACCAACCAACTAACCAATCAACGAACTAACCAACCAATTGATGAACTAACCAACCAACCAAATCGATAAACCAACCAACCAATCAATTGATGAACCAATCAACCAGCCAATCGATGAACCAACCAGCCAACCAACTGATGAACGAACCAATCGATGAACCAACCTACCAATAAATCGATTAACCAAAAAAACAACCAACCAACCAATCAATGAACCAACAAACCAATTGATGAATTAACCAACCAATCAGCCAATAAACCAACCAACCAACCAATCAATCAATCAACTAACTCTACTGACATAAAGGCAGATGTTCACGAAGCATTTTTGCAGAGCTGAAAACATCAGTGCTCATCCAAAAATGCTCAGCTGTGAATGCTTCTCCAACTGCCAGAGCATTTAAAAACCATCGTGCACTTACAATGCTAAGGTGGACATGTGCCCTAAAACAACAGCCTAGAGGCACAAAGTTTAGGTTAAAATTAAACATAAAAGCTGGGGATCTGTAAATCCAAATAAAACTACCTCCTAGATTTGATCTATCATAAAAATCTATCATAAAATAAATTTTTCAAATCCTAGCAGGCCCGTCTCTGTTTTTGTTTTTAATAGACAGGTATTTGATGCAATGTCACTGTACATATCTACGTATTTTATTTTGTGATAGCATGGTAAAGCTGAGATGTGCAGAAGGAAACATTGGTACTCAGCAACAGAATCTGACATTCACAACAAACCCAGCGACACACCAATATATATATGTAACAGCAATTCTTTGTTTTTTATTTATTTATTTAGTGAAACATTCGTAAAATGGACCTTTAAAGTTGATCTCAACAAGAAGGCAACCATCTTTTTTAGATTCATTATGATAAAATATTTCAGAGAGAGATAGAAAACAAACAGAGGCATAAGAGAAAGTGAACGAGGACAGTCAAGAGTTGAATTGTTATTGTTCTGACAGACAGTCATTTGTTGGACAAATGTCTAACCTGAGTAATAAGAGTGAGGCTTGACCTGGCAAACACCACTACAACTGAAAGAGAGAGACTGAGACTCGCAGACATTGTTCATCAGAGCGAACTGTCAAACTGAGAGAACAGAGCCATCCCTGACACACACACACACACACACACACACACACACACACACACACACACACACACACACACACACACACACACACACACACACACACACACACACACACACACACTCATGAGAAGAGGTCAAAACACAGCAAATAAACACATCAGACACTGAGCTGATCTAGACAATCCACTAATTCAGAATCTTGTCACTACTAGTAGATCATTTATGTTAGTAAGCTAACTAGCCAACCAACTACCTAAATAAATAACTAAATCATACAAGAGGGGGCTAATATTTAAACAAAACAAGGCCACAAAACAAAGTCCAGCCAAAAACAAAACCAAACAAACCACACCCTTTATAGAACAAAAAACAAAACCCAAAGCCAACCTGAAACCTTTAAAATATATTTTTAAATAATGAAACAACACAAACAAAATCATAAATTAATGAATAAAAAAACCAATGCCCATACGACCAAATTCAAAATAAAAACAACATTCAAAATACATGCGTAAAGATGAAAAAAATGTCTTTTTAAACGATATTTAAATACATAAAAATATTAAATAGAAAAAAAATAAGCAATCCAAAAATCAAATCAATACCACAAGCAAAACAAATACTGAAGAAAAACAAAAAATCCAAACTAAAAACGAAGCAAAATAAAAACTAAAACCCCGAAACTAGAACACACGACAAACAAAACAAAAGCCACTGTAAAAAACACATTTACAGTAAAGAAAACAAAACGATGTCACACCCTAAACAAAGTCCAAAAATAAATAAATAAATTAGAAACTTAAACACACTCTTTACTGAACAAACAAACAAAACATAACCTCAATTTAAAACCAAACAAAACCAAAAAAAAAAATCAAAGCCAAAGACAAACCAAAAAAAAAAAAAAAAAAAAAAAAAACTAGAACACACAAACCCCGAAAACAAACAAAATTCAGCCTAATTTTATTTTTAATTTTTTTCACAAAACCATGTCCGGCCAAAAGCAAAAAACAAACTAAAAAACTAAAACCCACTCTTTACTAAAAAACAAACAAACAAAAAAACAGACAAAATAAAACAAAGCCAACCTGAAACAAAACAAATCACATCAGCAGCAGCACGTGTACTATGAAGAGTGAAAAGCTTACGTGCTGGTTCCAGACAGTGCAAAATACAACAACAGTGCAAAATACAACAACATACTCCCAAAGAACAAAACAGTATACAATTAGAAAAGCCCAATTTAAGACAAAGAAATTGTAAACAAAACAAATCAAAAAGCCTAGCCTAAAAAAAAAGTCATCAAAACAAACCAACTGAAATGAAAATCACATCATTATTGACAGATGATCTATGGGGTTTTGATCCTTCGGCCTGTGTATTAAAGCCGGTGCACCTGCTGTGTATGTCTATCCTTCACTGATCAATCTTTCATGTGTGTTTTTCCGACCGCAAACACCCACTCACACACAGTTCCTCGTGATGCAAGCAAAGGCAAAAGATGGACTTCCTTTAATAATGCACGGTGGATTTTTTTTCTTGCCCCCCTTCTGTTGCTTATGTGGGTGAAATGATTGGTTTGAAAGTGAGCAGCATCCACAGGTACACAGAAAGGCGACGGGAAAACAGCAGAGCAACAGAGGAAAGTATATGAAAAAAGACTGGATGATCTTCCATGCGATACAGACAAATATGATTTAAGGTTTAAGAATATGATTAGGTTAGATTAAAAATATGCTAAATGGAAATGGAAACAAGCGCAAAATATTTCCATAAAAAATAAAGTATATTAAAAAATAATAATTAAAAAGTTAATAAAAAAAGCAAAAAAAAACATAATAATAATGATAACAAATAATAAATAAACTAAAAATAAAAGCATGACCAAGACCAAAGAAAAACTATTTATTTATTTATTTATTCATTATTTCATTTATTTTAGGATGTTTTTAGGCTAGGATGTTGTGGGATTTTAGACTGGGATGTTGTTTTTGATGTTGTTTTCTCTCTGGCATTTGTTTTGCTTGTTTTTTTTAGGCTGGGCTGTTTTGTTTTGGTTCTATTTGTTCTTGCACATGATGTTGTTTTTTGTCAACTTTTTGGTTTGAACTGAAATTACTGTTATTATTATTATTATTATTATTATCATTATTATTATTATTATTATTATGACTACATTTATACCTAATTTAGTTAATTTAATTCATGCCAAAGATCAAACAAAACCAAAAAAGTTTGAAAATATGAATACATTTATTAAATAATTACACAACATAATAGCAAATTAAAAATATATGAGTAAACAAAACCCAATATAAGAACAAAAGACTGCTTTAAAACAAAATAGAGGGGGAAAACAGACAGATAGATGGACGAATGGACGGACGGATGGATGGATGGATGAATGGATGGGTGGATGAATAGATGGATGGATTGATGGATGGATGGATGGATGGATGGATGGATGGATGGATGGATGATGGATGATGGATGATTGGATATTAGGATGAACAGATGCATGGAAGGATATTTATTTGGTTGAACAGATGGATGGCTGGATGGTTAGATATTTGGATGGATGGATGGATGGATGGATGGATGGATGGATGGATGGGTGGATGGATGGATGGATGGATGGATGGACAGATGGACAAACAGATAGTTGAACAGATGGATGAACGGATGAATGGATGGATGGATGGATGGATGGATGGATGGATGGATGGATGGATGGATGGATGGATGGATGGATGGATGGATGGCTGGATGGGTGGATGGATGGATGACCAGATGGAGGGGTGGATGG